GTCAAGGTTGAAGGAAGCACTCTAGCACACAAAGCTAGCTTCATGCAGCTTTTATAGGGAATCAGCCTTGAATCTGTCACCTATAATGCACTTTCTCTTTAGAAGCAGCTGTTTCATTTATTTTAAGGTTCGCTTATTTTCCAGGACTGTCTTTTCATATTCATATCAGCACCATAGAGAAAATAAAGCAAAGCGTTGAAATCCGGAGACCGCTTAGCAGGATGAACATGTTTGAATGATGTGATATCACCTTCCCTGAAGTCTCCTGTAATATTTACTAGAAAAGCTTATAGCTTTGTTCTTTGCAGAAATAGGGGAACAGGTAGTGAGTGAGAATTGAGCTGCTTGGGGACCCATTACAACATCCAAAATATTCAGTATCAACACTTATTGACATGGATCCCAGTTGAGAAATGAAAAGAGGTGCTTCCTTTTAAGATTCAAATAAATCTCATTGGTTTGGGCACAGTGCTGTTACATTTCTTATGGTGGAAGGGACTATATACCCACCTTGTCCCTAGAGCAGAGATTGGACAGCAAGGTCTCCCACTTTAGGCTGCTTGGATCCCTTCCTGGGATCTGATTTCTATTCTGTTTTGTTCTGTCTTCACCTCAACTAAGTATTTTAGGCTATAAATAGATATTGCATTTGACACAGTCTTGATTGTCGAAGGGTTTTGACCTGGATCAAAACAGGAAGAACACAGTCCTGTAAAACAGGTAGCCCTTCCAAGTTGCATTGCTGCTCCTTCAGCAGTATGTGGACAGCCAGGTCATGCATCTTGGCTGCCTTGTTAGGGAAGGATCCATGCTAACCTACAATCGTGCACAATGGTGTCTTGGGAAAAAGCGATAGCAGATTGATGGGACTTAAAGAGGGACAGCAGTCTTGTACATCTGTAGGGTTATGGGACAAAATGCTTTCTTTTAGGGCATATGCAACATCCATTTTTTCAGCCTTGATAGTACTATTTTCTTTTGACGTTTTATTTCAGTGTCAATTAAAATAGCTTCATTTCTAACTAGTATTAGTTGCATTTTACACAGAGCTAATATAAATTTGAGTGGGTGTTGTTTGGTTTTCTGTTCCCATCTTAATGGGGTAAATCAACGTAATTTGAATTAAGCACCATTATTTGAATACTATGTTTGTAAAACTAATGCTAGAAAGCCTGGAAAGTTTAGGTTTAAAGTTAACAAGTAATTGTTGGAAAGTAGGGATATTCCTTACAGGTGATCTCCACTCACTACCCTCCCCTCCTCTGGTGCTATATCTGAGGCACCCTACACAGATTACTGGTATTGTACAATTAACTGGATAATTGCACAAATACCTTAAGACCAGCTATGTGCTAAAGTACTTACCACACAAAAAAATCCAACCAACTGTGAAGTGAGACCTTGAAAATGCGTACTAACTTCATAGCTGGTTGCTATTGAGCTTTAATATGCACGTGTTGCAGGGTCTCCTGTGCAACTGGAAGCTCTGTCGGCTGACAGGTCTCCCAGTCCCAGGGGTGCACCATTCCCAGTGTGTAACCCCGAGGTCTGGGGGAACATGGCTGCCACAATCCCTAAGGCTCAGGGGTACATCCCCCAGTCCTGTGGGTGCATGGGGCACCCCCATGGCTGGGAGCCCCTTCAACTGAGGGTGCTCCCAGCTGTGGGAGCTTGCTTCTTGCTGGTACAGAGTGGATCCCAGGCTCCCCCTGCACCAACAATAAGCCATGATTCCACAATTGTGCCTCCTATGCACGTGTGGCATAGTAGGATGCACAATTTTGTGGATCAAGAATTAGAAACCATTACACCTTTACCTGTGTAATGGGGGCCTGAGTTAAATATATCAAGTACACACACGTGCCGTGTTTGGAGTGGCACATGTTCTGGAGGGTTGGTCAGGTAGACTGGAGCATCTCTGATGATGGCAGGTTGATATATGAGACCCCATGCTTTCTGCTTTGTATATTGGTAGTTAAAAGGAGAAGTGATTGCTTATTATGTTCAATGGTGTTTTGAAGCGGAGGAGTCTCATGTTTGGCACCCTCTGTATAATAAGGCATTGGGGTCAGGTCCTCAGCTGGTATAAATTGTTGTGGTCCATTGGCTTCAGTTTGCTGCAGTTTAAGAACTCCTGCCTAATGCACAACTGAATAGTGAAGTCTCGGTTATCTCAGGGGTTTTTGATACTTAGGTTAGGACATAACACCATGATTCCACTTGTAATCTAAATGCTTCATGGTGGTTGCTCAGATTCACTGGTGGAATATGCCTTTTCTCTAAGTTTGAATCCTCTAGAAAGTGGATCAGTGGAAGTACGGGGCCTGATTCACTATTGTTCTGTCCCTGTGTACTGTGCACCAGTGCAAAAAAGATACACAACTCTGCTTTGCTAGCATTTTACCATTCTGTATAGGTATAAATGGTATTTGTGGTGTAGATAATTTGGCAGCATTTCCCCCTCAGTTTGAAAAGACCTAAATTACTATAGGTGGAATAGATCCTTGGGTAGCATTTTACTTTTCCTATTTGCTCCAGAAATTTGGTTCCCTGTATTTTCAAACTAAGACTAGGATTTTCAAGGAGTTTATTAGGTTCAGGTGCCCAGCAACAACTGATGTTCATTGGAATTTGGGCAGCCAACTTCCTTAGGCTCCTTTTAAAAACTTCAAGTTATGCATTTCAGTCATATACAAAATACATTCCACCTCTTAGACAATTGCATGAAAAGCCAAACATTTATAGCCTTAGAAACTGTTTTAGCAAGTTGGTTTTGAGGTTTTGGGCTTCTGAATGCTTTCTTATTTTCTTTCCTTCCTTCCTCCTTCCTCTGCCTTAAACTCCCGCCCACCTTAAACTCAAAAGTCAAAATAGTTGTGCAGTGATAACAAACTTTAAGCCAAGCAGTGAAGTGCTTAGCAATGAGTTATGAGTATGAAAAGCTTCTGGCCATGGGGGTTACAGTACTACTTTTGTAATAAATGAATTGGACTTAAATGTGTCAATTAGCAGGAGGGAAATTGAAAACTCTTAGGGCTTCCCAATCCTGTTTTAGTTGCCTTGTTTTTTTGTTTTGTTTTTTTTAATTCAAGTAACTGTTAAAAATGGACTAAGAGATCCTTAGGTCAAAAACCCAATGGACATTAACATCCTGATCAGTGGAAATCTAGAACCTGATTCACTGTCCCTGATTTAGAAAAAGGTCTTACTACCATCTCCTTTTCTGATTTTACACCCACCATTGATCATACGTGAAAATCAGGTACCCAGCTATCTAAATGAAATTAGCATCTACTGACGGTGAAAAAGTAGATATTTTAAAAATTAATTTATTTCATGCACAAGAACCCGTTTCTGAAAATCTGGCCTGAATTTATCAAGAGGATGTTTTGAATCATGTCACTGTTACAAATGTTCAAGTTTTGGGGGAGGCAGGAAGGGAAATGGGGAAGGTTGCAAGGGATGCTTAGCAATTATTTACTGTAGCTGTAAGTGAGAACTAAAATTGTTGCTTTCCTTGTAATGACTTTCAGGTGAAAGTGATGGTGAGAATCTGTCCTTCTCATGGAACTCATGACACATCCGAATCCATGTCATTTCTAAAGGTAGACCCTCGAAAAAAGCAAATCACACTTTATGATCCATCTACAAGTGGACCCTCCAACTTGGGTCACAGGAGAGGTGTTGTTGCTGTCCCAAAGATGTTTGCCTTTGATGCAGTGTTCCCTCAGGATGCTTCACAGGTACTGAAAATCAGCACATGAACCTAACAACTCTTCCTGCAGCCTTATTGTTTTAATGTTGTCAGTGTTCTTTACCCACTTCTACAGGATTTTATTTGAACAAGTTGATTTTATCTCTGGGAAAATAGATTTTTTAGTAGATGATGGGTAAATTTTGTACTGTATGCAGTTAGCCCAGATGTGAAGTTAAATGTTTGTGCAGAAAAATTGGCTGATTGAATACCTTCCCTGTCCTTTTTGGTGTTCTTGAAAGGGCTGCAGCTAATTTGGGATTCACATTTCCACCTGATTTATGTAGTAATTCTTGTACCATCTGCAGAGTTACTCCATTGACTTCTCTTAGATTTGAACACATACCCAAATGTAAACATTTAGTGCTGAATAGGAACAGATTCACTCATGTGCCATAAATTAAGCCCATAGTAAGTGCTTTGTTCAGTTGAGACAATGGCTATGTCTAATCCTAAAGATCGCTGCTACTGAAAGGGATCATGGAACCTTTGTATGTTTGGTTTCCTGTTTCAGTTTATTTGAGTTGTGTATTTGCATATTTCCTGAGTAGTCAGGTTCATTGTATTAATGATGGCTGTGCCCTTCTAGCCCTGTAGAATAGCAGTTGCAGAGCTGAAACAGAATGTGTACTTAGAAGTCATGTACAGAAGGAAAGGGGAATTTTGGGCCTGAGTTGGGTGGTCCATAGTACAACATCAGCAAACGTGAAGCCCATGATAAACATAATATGAGAGAAAAATATAGGAACTTTGCAAGAGAATTAAAAAACTGATCATGGAGAGCAATAGTTCAAGCTATAAGAAGACTCAACTTCAGGACATTTCAAAACCATTTATATAAAATCTGAGCAAAAAAGACAAATTTCTGCCAGAAAAACTTTTTCTACCCTCCCTGTGTGGGGAAAGTTAGAATAATCATAGAATCATAGAAGAATCATAGAAAATTCAGGTTGGAAGGGACCTCAGGAGGTCGTCTGGTCCAACCCCCTGCTGAAAGCAGGACCAGCACCAACTAGATCAGCCAAGGCTTTCTCTAGCTAGGCCTTAAAAACATGGAGATTCCATCACCTCTCTACATAACCTGTTCCAGTGCTTCACCACCCTCCTAGTGATTTAATAGCAACCCCCAGCTTGGTGTCATCTGTGAACTTTCTGAGTGTGTAATCCATCCCATCTTCTGGACTGGTAATGAAGATGTTGAACAAAACCGGCCCCAGGACCGACCCGTGGGGCACTCCACTTGATACTGGCTGCCAGCTAGACCTTGAGCCATTGATTAAGTTTTTCCTAATATCCAACCTAAACCTCCCTTGCTGCAACTTGAGACCGTCGCTCCTTGTTCTGTCATCTGCCACCACTGAGAACAGTCCAGCTCCATCCACTTTGGAACCAACCTTCAGATAGTTGAAAGCTGCTATTAAATGCCCTCTCAGTCTTCTGTTCTGCAGATAATAAACCCAGTTCCCTCAGCCTCTCCTCAGAAGTCATGTGCCCAACCCCCAAGCCTTTTTCATTGCTCTCTGCTGGACTCTCTTCAACTTGTCCTCATCCTTTCTGTAGTGGGGGGCCCCAAACTGACCACAGTACTGGCCCGTTGTGGCCTCACCAGTGTAAAATAGAACAGAATAATAACTTCCTTCGATCTGCTGGCAGCACTCCTACTAAAGCAGACCCCTGGGGCGCTCCACTTGATACCAGCTGTCAGCTAGACATTGAGCCATTGATTGCTGTCCATTGAGCCTGGCAATTCAGCCAGCTTTCTATCCACCTTGCAGTCCATTCATTCAACCCATACCTCCATAGCTTGCTTGCAAGAATACTGTGGGAGATGGTATCAAAAGCCTTGCTAAAGTCAAAATATATTACATCCACCGCTTCCCCCGCATCCACAGAGATAGTTATCTCATCTTAGAAGGCAGTGAGGTTGGTCAGTTGTGACTTGCCCTTGGTTAATCCATGCTGATAGTTCCTAATCACCTTCTTTGCCTCAAAGTGCTTAGAAATAGATTCTTTGAGGACCTGCTCCATGATTTTTCCAGGGAATAAGGTGAGGCTGACTGGTCTGTAGTTCCCTGGATCCTCCTTCTTCCCTTTCTTAAAGATGGGCCCTATATTTGCCCTTTTCCAATTGTCTGGAACCTCCCCTGATCACCACAAGTTTTCAAAGATAATGGTTAGTGGCTCTGAAATCACATGAACCAACTCCCTCAACAGCCTTGGATGCATTGTATCCATCCCCATGGACCTGTACTCTTTTCTAAATAGCCCCTAACCTGTTCAAATTGGATAAGTTGAAACTGGATAAATGAATATGCATGTTGTAGTCTGGATCTGGCAGGGACAGAGAACATGGTGTAAGCAGCTGCACAGGTAGGTGCACATGGCAACTGCAAGGGCTAGGAGTTACCACACGGCCAATAATCTCTGTACTGAATAGTGCCATAATCAGTGTAGGTATCTGTGCACAGTAGCTATTGATAGGGGTGCACTGATTTAACAAGAGAAGTTTTTGTCCAATACCGATGGCCGATTATTAACCAGGCATATTGGCTAATACCGATCTGATAGCTAATATGCAGCCTGGCAGTTTGGCAGCGGCATGGGGTGGTGGATGGTGGTGGTGGTGGTGGCAGCAGCATGGGCTGGTTGCATGTGGCATGCACATGGCAGCTGCATGTGGCTTGCATGTGCCAGTGGTGGCCCAGGGTGGTAGGTAGTGGCGATGCGGCAGCAGTGGCGGTAGCAGCGTGGTGCCAGTTAATAGAGTATTCTGGCTAGTAGAATGCTGGATAACGGGGATTTTACTGTATATGTTTAGCTGCAAGAGTGTTTTCTCACCAGTGCAGGCCAGGAAGCAGTTTCCTTACAGCTTTCACTGAGCAGGATCCTACTTTATGAAGAGCTGGTGCAACGTTGTAGTGATTTCTTTCAGTCTCTCCTGGCGCACACCCCTTGCCGGCAATTCTGTTTTGCTCTGATACTGTTTAACTGTATAGCTTCAAAGCACTTTTCCTTGATAGTTGGTCAGTTAAAGTCTGAGCAAAGCAGGGAGGAAGGGGGACCATCCTATTACCATGGTCAACCGTTTGGATCCTGTTTGGGGTTGTCCAGCTGTGACCTTGTGTTTTGCAAGTTTTTGATTGGTCTGGAGGTTACACTGTAATCAAGTAAGATGGGTTTTGATCGACTGAAAATGGATGTTGATCAACTGAAAGGAATATTTTGAGGCACTGATGACAGGACACTGTACTTTGGGTAGCTGTTGTAACAATGGGGCAGAATTTACATTTACAAAACTTCATGTGGTGATACAAAACCCTGGACAGACACT